CAGATTAAAATTTGTATTTAAGCATACTACCTTTATTTGTTTAATTATTCATTTATTATTTCTATTATACAACACATAACAGTATTTATACAAACCAATATGACTGATAAATTGTGTGTGTACACATCAATAGCAAACAAACCGAAATCTTCACATGATTTCGGATCAAAAACGATCCCTTCGCATACATTTCAATGCCTCATCATCACAGACATTTTTTCTTGTCACGTCACACAACATGAGGGAAAATTGCTTCGATTTGATAACATTCATGTTTGAATATATATGTTCGACAGTTTCAATATGCATGATACAATTTTCCAAATATTAAACTGATTGTTGTAACAATTATCATTACAATGCTACAAACAATGACTACAACCATAATAACAATTCACTATACTTTAACAAGTGAAAGAGATGAATTATCAGAACTTGTTCTAAGACAATTATCATCTACTGATGATAAGCTGTGACGTGGACGAAGAAAAACTGATACAGAAAGGTCGAAATAACTATCAAAACACAGGAATTGTGAACAACGAGACAGACTTCAAATCTCTGTGGAAACTATTGCGGATTCGTTGACCTCTGACACGCTTTTGTTGACTTTAACATACGTCTAACTGATCCACTTTCAAACATTGGTTGGGGTTCATCCAAATCGCTAGCACCGAACACTATGGCCCGAGGTACCGCCACGACTCGTGGTTTCAAAGCTGTAACGCCTTGCCCTACCCTTGCGGTCACATGATCCTTCGAGGATATCGTTGATGAAGGTGACATGTTCATTTCATCGAGAGCCTCACCAATTTCTGCACACAGCTGCGATCCTTTGCTAGCATTCTGTTCAGATGGAACTTTTCTTGCGGTTTTTCGCTTTTGCGATTCTATCGCACCACCATCCTCAATGAAGTGTTCTTTCAGTGAATGTAGCGATCGCTCATCACTATTCACGAATGCCTTCGAACAAGCCGAATCAAAGCATCGATACAATGCTATCGCTTCATTCTTCTGGAAATTTGCATGCAA